CTTGTAAATAAATAAAATAAATATAAAATTTAATTAAGTAAATTTATTTTACTAAATTTTTATTATTAATTATCTTCTCATTTAGATGTGTTATCTTGCTCATTAAAAAAGAAAATTTAATTATAAATTTATATTATTTTTCTCAATGAGTTCATATTTATAATTTCAATCAATAAATGTTAGGAGATTAATAAATAATATATATTTAAAGTATTTTTATGAAAACTAATAGATCATTAATTTACAAACTATAATAAAAATTTTATTTGTAAGTTATAAAAAAGATTTACATTATCTTTTAAATATAAAGAATATATTTGAGAGTCACAAATTATGTATTTAAAAAATATTATCACTATTATAAATTTACAAAAAATATAATATAATTAAAAAATAAAAAAATTATTTTTTAAAAAATATATTAACTCGCAGCTCGTTTCAGTCGGTCAATTTGAGGTTGAATTAGCCCAATTCATTTTAAAGGACAAGTTAATTTATTCTATCAAACCTGTCAGATTTGGAAAGTTAAACAGACTGGGTCGTGACCTCAACTAGTTTTCCGGCTCCATGCAATGCCATAACATTAAATGCATGGACAAATATTGAATTTGAGAGAGAGAGAGGGAGAGGGAGGATAGCCACGTGACACTGTCGGCCTAAAGTCTCGGTCCTTTTTTTGTTTTTTTGGTTATTTTCTTTTTCCTTTTCATTTTGAGTGGAAAGGCTTGGTCTTCGCCCACGCACTTTAATTAATTTTACTGATATTCGATTTTGTTGATGATTATGGTATTTGGAACCTGATTTATCATATTGGGTTAGATTTTATATCACCATTGTATCGATCCGTCTATATTTCTTGATCTAAATTGCGGCTTTAATTTGACTCATATTTGTGCCTTGCTAGATATTTTAAACACACCGGCATTATCATAAGTCAGTCTAACGTGAAACTCTATGTATCGATATGCAATAACATAACACATGACGTGGGCAACTAAATTCAAATGCTTTGAGAGAAAGGGATGGCGGCCATGTGACCCAGTCTTGGTCTCGGTCCACGCACTTCAATTAATTTTACTAATTATATTCAATTTTGTTTATAATTATGGAGCGTTTTTTTCCCCATATAAATTCAAGCCATCGTCTTGCTTCTGATTCAAAAGGAACCTTCATCTTTCCCTAAAGGGCATACTTGGCTTCTGCGGGCTTGTGAGACGATAGTTCTTAGCTTCTATTAATTGCTTGGCTTCAAGGTGCGGATTTATAAAATCGTTGCCAGTTTAGGCCATGATTTTTTTCTTTTAAAGTTTTTATGATGTCTTGGATTGACTTTGAATAGCACTTGTTTAATTGATTAAACCCATACTCGTCCGGTCTTTTTTGGTAAAACATACTAAGATTATTTTAAATTCTCTTCATGAGGTACTGTACAGGAAATCTTATATATACATATTTATCTTTTTAATATCGTCCTTGTTGATTATTGTTAGTTTACTCTACCAAAATTACATCATATATATTTAAATTAGAGCAAAATTGAATAGCATTTTATTTTGAGACAAAATCAATGAATGAGCTTTAAGCCTTCATTAATTACAATGATAGTATCATAAACATATTATGAAAAAAGATCTGAAAAATATGTAGAGTTAACAGCAGTGTAAAAAGTCGATAAAACGGGTACTCCCAGAAGGGCTTGCATGTTTACCTGCCAAATTTGGGGACCAGGAATTTGTGTGATTATTGACATCTTCGTGTATTAGTATTACTTACTGTACTAAGGGTTTGTTGGTTTTGATATATATATATATATATATGTATGTATGTATGTATGTATGTATATATTGGGTATATGTTGCTGGTTTTGATGACTACAGTATGTAAGAAGATAACTTCCTCATGATTTATTTGTCATGCGTAAGTATTAATTCACCCAGCATACTGTCCAATATATAGATTTGGAAAATTCGCCGTCAAGTGCCCACAAGGCCACAACCATTCAAGATATCCAAATGTATTATAAAATCTCTAAATAACTGTTAAATTTCTAGGGACTTAAGGATAAATAAAATTGAAATGACAATAGTTTCAAAAAATTCAAATCATAAGATGTCTCTCATTTGTTAATAGCCTTTTTCCTGTAATGAATGGCTATTATTGTCAAATTGTCAATTAGGCATTCTTATAATATGGGTATTTTGGTCATTGTGATTTAAAAACTATTCACTCCTAGGTCTCTAGGGAACTAATAGATATTTTTGAATTTGATGGGATCTTTAGGTATTTAAATGATTGCGGGAGATTTCATGGAGATTTTTGCTGCTAATTTTTCTCACCTCAATGTGGTATCCATAACATAAAGCTTATAAAATATGGGGAAAATTCAAAGAAATCATTGGTGGCCTGGCCAGCCCACCAACACATCTATGTGGAGCTTTACCAGCTCATAAGCCCGCCCCAACAGTGCATTTAAACCCTTCGCAATTATAACAATAAAACAAATAAAAGGTAGTTTAATTAATAAGCATTTGATTCATAGGTTACGAATTCTTAAAAATTAGAGTAAAATGCAATGAACTCCTTCAAATTTTTTAAAATTTTAAAGACCTCCTCTCTGTTTTCAAAACATATACACTTTTAGTTCATTTATTAACATGGTTAGGGATACACCGTTTAAGATTCTAAAATACATTATTATATTAATTGAAATCAGTGAAAAAAATTAAAATTATTAATCTGACCTCACAATATTTTTCTCCCCCCTAATTTTAAAGAATATTATGGTTATATTTTCATAAACATTTTACGAATTATTGAAATTAATAAACATAAATTTTATTAAAAAATAGTAAAATAAATAGAAAGCATCTTAATTAATTTATATTTTGTTATATTAAATTCCTAAATCCTTTTTTTGAAAATAAATTTTCTAATTTACTAAAATTTTATTCATATATGTCAGAAATATTATTTTTTGTCGACTTATATATTTAAAATTTAAAAATTACTATATAAATAAGTTTATATAAGCAACTCTTAAACTTATATACTGTACAAATAAGTATATTTAAGAAAAAATTAATCATTTTGTATCTATAGTTTTGACTCTGTTGTAATTTAGTCTCTAAAATTTAAATTTTGCAACTCAATCCCTTTAGTTTTAGTCATACAAAATATAGGTCCCTATATTTTAAAATATAAAATTATAAACATTAAAAGGGTTTAGTAACTTGAAATATTAGTTCTAAATTTTAATTTTTTTTAATATTTATAATTTTATTTTTTTATGATAGAGGGACCAATATTTTTAATAGTTAAAACTATAAAAACTAAGTTGCAAGATTTAAAATTTATTGATTGAGTTACAACAGAGTCAAAATTATACAAGAATCAACTTACAACAAGTTAAACATTTCTATATTTAATAACTCTTGAAAAACATTTAAAATAGAGAAGAGATATGGCTTATGTAAATTTTAATTTTCAGAGAGATTTATATAGGTCTATGTAATTAAGGTATAAAATAGAGGCGATTTTGATACATTTTACACTAAAAATTATATATTGAATTTTATAAGGTAATAAAAATTATTTTTATTTGAAGAGAGAGAGAAAGATAATGCACAATTTTTTAATATCAAGATAGTTTGCGATTTTTAAAATCAAAAACTCCCATCCCCTTTGAAATACCAAATTAGAAGGGAGGGTAGATGACATTGTTTTAAAATTCAGACTGAATATTAAAATAGAAAGGTCAAAGAGTTTCAATTTTCATGGTTTAGCTAATTAGATTAATGATTCAACCAATGACTTAATAATTAAATAAAAATAATTTAAAATGCATTATATATATATATATGAGAAATAAATTCACAATATCTTTAGTTATCGATAAAATAACACAACATCACTATAAATAAACAATATTATAAATCATAATTCTATAACTTATCAATATATGGATCTTAATTAAATCATAAGTAGCTTTAAAAGTATATACATTTAGGCCTATAACTACCAACATCTTCAAAAAATAGTCCTCTATTGCTGTAGTGAACTTTTCTTGTGACTTTTTGGTGGTTATGGAATAAAATTTTGTATGTTTTTTTTTAAATATTTATAAATCAAACAAATTAAATTTAACCTTCAATTCAAGTGTTTAACAACTCATGACACGTTTTTCTTTGAAAAAATAAATTAGAAGACAAGTCTTTGTTGGGCTTGTAAATGTTCCGAAAAAGGAAGCTTTATAAAATGTATCATGATGTGTTGACTACATAGAATTGATTAGAGGTGTTTAACTTGTACCCATCCTAATTGACCTAATATCATCCCGATCATATTGAGATAAGTCTTGTCCTGGCCTAAAAATAATCAGGACAAGATAAGAAAGGAGTTCGAGATGGGACGGGACATGAGATTACCATCAGGACGTTTCGTTCCGTCTCAAATATTATATATATATTTTTTATTTTAAAAATATACATTAAATATTTAAGTATATTAATATAATTTATAATTATATTAATTATATCAATTATAATTTTAATACTCACAATTCTTATATAAAACTAAAATTTTTTATATTGATAATTTTAATGACATAGAGTAAACATGACGATATCTTTCTTTATAGTATATTAATTATATTAATACAATTTATTCTTATATCTATCTATTTAATAAATTTTATTTATATTGTATTTGTTGTTTTATTTTTGAAAGAGTAATTAGTTTAGCACACTCAACTAAAGTAGAAGAATAATGATTTGATATTGTACTTGGCTTGCTTATTGTTGCTGCTCTTATAACCTAGAAATCACTTATAATTGTCATCATAATGTGTAGTTATGATTGATGTAGTTCAATAGTTGACCTTTAAGTTATTGTGATTTATGTATTTGTATTGTTTTAATTTTAAACTTAATAAATTATATGATTTAAAATTTTAATAAATTTTATTATTCAGATATTTTTTTGACATTGTCTGATTTATCAAAATGACTGGACGTCCCAATCTTGTTTCGGTCTCGTCTCGATTCCTAACAAGACGAGATAACTTTCGAGACAAGACACAAGACTAAAATTCAATTTTGATCTTTTTTTCAGGATGAGACACGGGATAGAAAAGATGAATTAAAAGAGTGGGTGAAGCAAGTGAGAGAAGTTGCTTTTCGCATGGAAGATGTGATCGATGAATTCTTGTTGAAAGTGAAAAAGCATGACCAAAAGCAACGACTTGTTCGCTTTGTTGCTAAAACTGGTAACGTTCTCAAAACTGTCAAAGTCCGTCTTAAGATACAAGCGGAGATTCGGGACATCAAAAAAACACGAGAAAGACTCGATAAATTAAAAGATTCTTTCGGATTAGACACGTCATCGTCAGGACGGAGAGCAGAGATGTCTGCAACTGCCGGACATGGCCTTCGAAAGAGTGCTCGGTTCATGGATGAAGCTGAACTTGTGGGTGTTGACGAGACTAGGGAAATGCTCATGGGTTGGCTAAGAAAACAAAATGGACGCACAGCAGTAATTTCAGTGGTCGGCGAAGGGGGATTAGGTAAGAATGACGAACTACAAACTTATATTTCTATCAAGACACATTCGCACATACATATATAGATATATATATATATATATATAAACTAATTCCTTTTTTCCTGCCAGGAAAAACCACTATTGTGAGTAACTTGTATAAGAAGCAAAAAGACGAAAGATATTTTGACTGTTACGCTTGGATCAATGTCTCTCACTCACTCGAAGCCAAAGGACTATTAAGAACTATGATCCGTGATTTCGACAAAAATGCTACCATGAAAATTGAAGACGACATGGAACAACATGAGTTGACTGAGAAACTTAAACAATACTTGCAAACAAAGAAGTATATGATTGTTTTTGATGATGTACGGGACATCAACTTTTGGGGAAATTTTCTTAATGCATTACCAGAGGCAGATAAAGGCAAAGACAGCAGGGTAATAATTACAGCAAGAAATATAGACGTTGCAGAAAATTGCAGAGTTCGCAGGGCTGACCATCACATTCATGAGCTAAAACCCTTAGATCCAAAAGTTGCTTTAAAGCTCTTTTACAGTGAGGTCTTTGATTCTAAAGGTTGTGACGATCAAGAGCTGAAAAAATTGTCTGAAGATTTCGTGAGCAAGTGTAATGGAGTGCCATTAGCAATTGTAGCTCTCGCGAGTCTCTTATCAACTAAAAAGGAAGATGTCTCAGAATGGGAAAAGGTGCGCTGGAGTCTAAACTTAAAATTCATAAATAATCCCCATTTAAGAAGTTATTTCCAAGTGTTATCAGAGAGTTACGACGATCTTGATCACCACCTCAAGTCATGCCTCTTGTACTTTGGTCTTTTTCCGGAAGGTTATGCCATTAGTTCCACTCGACTCATCAATTTGTGGACAGAAGAGGGTTGCCTAAATCATGATGATGGTGATCAAGTAAGGACTGAGGAAGTAGCGGAAAGTTACTTGTGTGAACTAATTAATCGCAGCTTGGTTAAAGTATCGGAAAGGGATCCTGATGGCAGAGTTCGAAGATGTCACATCCATGATTTAATGCACGAATTTCTTCTCAAGAAGTGTGAGGATCTGGACTTTGGCCAAGTCATAAAAAGTGGGCAGTTTCAGTTTCATCCATGGACCAGGCGGCTGTCGATCCTCACAAATAGCATTCATGATGATATTACAAGGGCTGCAAATCACAAGAGAGTGAGGTCTTGCTTTTGTTTTAACTTACAAGAGTTGCAAAAGCCTCTGGTGCAATCATTTCTATCCAGCTTCAAGTTCTTGAAAACCCTGGACTTTGAAGATGCTCCTCTCGATCATCTTCCTAAAGCCGTCGGGACTTTGCTGCATCTACAGTATCTGAATCTAAGGAACACGCGGATCACAACCATTCCTAAGTTTATTTGTAAGCTTCTTAATCTAGAGATTCTGAACCTAAAGCATACTCTAGTAACAGAGCTGCCACCATATATTTACCGGCTTGTCAAGTTGCGTCATCTCATAGCATATTCATCTTCTCATGGAGTAATACTAAAGAAAGGCATCAAGAGTTTAAAGGCTCTGCAGAAGCTAGCAAAAGTTGATGCATCTAATGGTGAGGATGGTGTCATCGAGGAATTGATTGACATGAAGGAAATGAGGAGGCTGGGCATTATTAACATAAGGAGGCAACACGGGAGACTGCTATGTACTGCAATAGAGAATATGCAGCTTGTTTGCTCATTAAGTATTGCAGCACCATATGCCGGTGGGATCAGTGAAGTTCTTAGTTTGGGTTCCATAAACAACCCTCCTGAGGACTTGAAACGTCTTTACTTGGTTGGCCGCTTAGAGAAATTAGCAAATTGGATTCCCAGACTTGGCCGGCTAGTGAAGCTCCGACTGGCTTGGTCAGGAATAGAAGAAGACCCAATGCTTGCTCTCAAGGACTTAACAGATTTGGTGGATCTTCAGTTATTGAAATCAGCATACGATGGCGAGGAGTTACACTTCAAAAGTGGATGGTTTAAGAAGCTTAAGGTTTTGGAATTACGTGGCATGCAGAGGCTTAGGAGGTTAAGAATAGAGTCCGCAGCAATGTCTTCGCTGGAACATCTACAACTTGGGTCTTGCCATCAGATGGAAAAGGTGCCCAGTGATATTCAAACCTAAGATCTCTCAAATTTCTTCATCTTGAAGATATGTCAAGAGACATTGTGACAAATATGCAACAAGAAGAAGGTTATTACAAATTCAGCCACTTGTCATCGGTGACTTATTCCATGGATGATGGCCACAATCTTTGTATTTATCCTTGATGTGTTGTGTCAACTGGTAAGTGCATGCTCATCCTCTTGCGTTACCCTTTAATACATTTTTAGTTTCTTTTTTAATTTTCTTGGTATGGTAGTATATAGTTTTAATTATTCATTCTTTTTGTTTAACTAAGTTAACACCCCCACACACACACAGAAAATTGAGACATTGAAAGTGAGTTATGGAATCTGATTGTCTCAATTAATTTTGCTGTTGTATTTTTATAATCGCGTGGTTGTTAAAGTGATCATATTACAATTGCTAATAAATTCTCAATTTATAAACTGTAAAGTATGTGATGTGTGTGTCTTTAAAGTAAAAAAGATGGAGAGAGAAAAGGGAATGGTTCGGAGTCAAAATAATATCCATTTTATGCTTCTTGCTTTGTTTGGGTCTATCTCAGTTTGAAGAAACTTACATATAGTCCAAACATCATGCTTCCAAATAATTTTTTTAATATCTTCAAACATTATCAAGTATTGACATCAAGTTTTTTTTTTACTTTCAATTTATTTATTTATATAAATATAGTTAATTCACGGCTTCTGTTGTCAGATTTCTGGAGCGTCAGAAGAACATGCATGAACCCAAATAAATGTCGATCGGCACTGAGTACATTTCATGGATTGTTGTTCGCTGAATTTCTAGAACCTACAAATAATGTTTTTGTTTTGGGCTATCGCAGTGAACTCGTGTGTACGTAATGTGTGCGCTTCATTTTTAAGTTCGGTATTTGCTGCACTTACATATCATTGAAGTTTGTAATTCATGTGTGACAATATATGGGTGTATGTAATGATATTTTTAACTTGATTTATTATCTTACTGTGTTATATTTTATTTCACCATATAACTTATATCTTGATCCGTTTATTTATACTTCTTCGTCTAAATCGCACCTCTGACCTCTATCATGCTAGATATTCATATTCTAAACACACATGCCGAATCATCAGTAATGTGTGACGTAAAACCTGTCATTGTGCTATATATCAATACTAAGCTGGATATTTGTCCCCAAAAAAATAGTAAGCTCGAATAAAATCTGTTGGCGGTGAAAAAAATTTAAATTTTACATCGAGATTATCCAAAAAAATATTAGATAAATTGATAATTAATATTATTATCTAGAAATAATATTTAGAAAAAACACATCTTCGATCAATTTGAAAGAAATTATTAGAGCTGGATTTTTTTTTTTTTTGCTAAAAGGATTTGGATACAATGTCATTTTAAAAAGCTAACACACACACACACACACACACAAAATTAATCATCAATAGGTTATAGATATTTTTTTTTGTCCAAAGGTCATTGATATTGAACCTTTTCAATTATTTGATGGCCTTGCTATACTTATGATACAATATTAACTACATGTAATTTTAATTTTGGTTGAAACATTTATGCATACTTATAATATTGACAAAATAAATGTGTATAAAAGATCAGATCACTTAGTAAAGCTTAATTCAAAACAATATTCAGTGTATTAAATTCATTTTATTACAAAAGTACAATGAATTCCTTTTGACGAATGATTGGAGACAAAGAAGTATGATATTTTTATATAAAAAGATTTTTTTTGAATAGATAGATGATCTTTATCATAAATGATATCAATTAAGTTTTTTTTTAATATTACACTTGCTTGGAATCATTAATTATGAGAGCAAATGTAATATAAATTTATTTTTTTTCATATGAATACAAGTAAAACAAAAAAATTATACCATTTTTGGATAAAATTAATAAATCATCCATCTTTATTTAACTCTAGTAAGGTGATTAATTATAGGTGATTTGTAATAAGGACCAATAATGAATATATTTTGCCTAATCATTTCGACATTTTGTTCTTTTTCCATGCTATGATGAAAGCCTAAAAACTACATTATATTAATTTGGGACTGGCAATAAGTCCCCACATGTCATTAAATTATTGGTCTTCCCTTTTGACCAAATTATATTAATTTTAATATTAATGTTAATAATATTTAATTTGAAATATAAAATATAAAACAAGTAACTGTATGCATGCACCACAATCCACAAACCAAACTGAAATGAGAAGCATGAATTGATCCGACCTCGTGGAGGGATCTTCCCACTAGAGTGCGCGCATTATAAACTGAAGAGACAATAATGGACTTGCGGAAGGATTTAATTTTAAATCAAGACCAATATAATCTGGAGGACCAAAAAAATTATTGAAAATAGGTTTTGATAGCAAAATGATCAAAACACCTATTTTTTTTTTAACAAGTTATGTTAAGATTTTAACAAATATATTTCATATGTTAACAAGTTAACAATGTACATTAAATATGTAGAAAATTATATTGTTAACAAATTCACCTAGTAAATTTATAAATGCGCATTACTAAAATAATAAATTATATTAGGACAATAACAAGTTTACTTTATATTGTATCAAATCAACATGATTGTATAGGTAAAATATATTTTTAAAAAAATTCGTTAATAAATTAACAAGTTATGAATTTTGAAGAATTTTATTTTTTTAAAATTTTATAACTTTATTTGCTTTGAAAAATTATAATTGAAAGGCTATTTTTGTTTTCTTTCTAACCACACCACACCTTATCCTTCCTATATGATCTAGCCTCAAGTTACTAATTTAAATACTATTCTTACCCTTTATTTCTTATGAGAAAAATATTAAAACGAAAATTTAAAAATATATAGCGTTTTGAACTTTAATTGTTTGTTCTTGAAATTGAAAGAGGGATCTAAATTTTATATATATATATATATATCTCGAGGCATATATTATGAGAAAACTAACTCATTAAGTCATAGATAATGGACAAACTCATTTTTAAACTCCGTTCAATTCCTAGGAACTGGTTATTATTGATGTATAAATGTGGAAGTTTTTACTTTTTGTCATGGTTGACGTTGATAACTAGCAAGTAGGTAAGATTGCATGAGTCTCTGAATATATTACACATACATGGTTTACTGTCACGGCGGGCTGGCGCGTTGACGTTTACCAATTGTGGACCACCAACTAAATAACAAATTAATTAATATTCCAACCACGCACTTATATATATATATATATATATGAAACCCATCGAACACTTTCTAATCAAGCACATAATCCACCCAAGACGGTCTTAATTATAAGTTTTGTGTACGAAGCAGCATCAACGCTTTATCAAGCATGAAGGTGAGACCAATGATAATTTTTGTGTATGTGTGTTTATTGTTTAGCATTCATCAAGCTAGGTAGATAAATAACTTAATTTTGAGTTTTAATGTATTGCAGCAAAAGATAGTTATACAGGTGCCCATGCGCTGTGAGAGTTGCAGAAAGAAGGCCCTGAAAATCGCATCAAAGGCTACAGGTGATTCTTGCATGCTTGAAGTAAATTCTTTTCAATTCGATCTAGGATTGTCAATTGGTATATAATAATTCATGCGTGACATGGCAGAAAAGTCTAGTTCTTTTTTGAGTTTTCATTAACAATGTACTTGTATAACTTGTATGTGAACGTGTATGCAGGTCGGGTGAATTCGGTGGCGCTAGAAGGAGCAGATAGGGATCGAGTGGTGGTGATTGGAGAAGATGTGGATACGGTGAGTTTGGCTAAGGATTTCAGGAAGAAGTTCTGCCATGCCAACATTGTGAGTGTGGAAGAAGTGAAAGAGAAGAAAGAAGAGAAGAAAGAAGAAAAGAAAGAAGAGAAGAAAGAAAAGAAGCTTGAGAAATTGCCTTGCTGTGATTACAGGCCTCCTTGTCCTCCTTGGCCCCCCTACGTTGTTTGTGAATACCCTGTTGTTGACAATAGTATTTGCGTCGTCATGTGATTGGACAAATCAGATTCAGATAATTTTCTCGTATATTATGAGTGCCAATGTAATCGAGTCCAGTCTGTACGTTTTCATTCTGCGCACAAATAAAAAGATTGTATGTATCCGTGTTCATTTTTTTTCTTATAAGGAATCAATTTCATATTTTTACAACTCATACACACTGCTACTATGGGCAAGTATAAAGGAGAGCCTGAGAAAAAACTAACTTATTGACCGGCATGAGGCTGATGAGTGAAATGTGGTGGAGTTGGACTGCTGGTAATGTTTTGGCTTTCAGACGAGATGGACTTTTTTATCTAACAAGCTAGTTTTTTAAGATAAATTTTCTTTTTAAACTTTTTTTCATGTAACACGCACCAATGTGTGTGGTTCAAATCCTAGAGATAACTAGGCACTGGCATCTACCGGCTCTTTTAATTTCTTTGATAGCGTTGCTTTCTTGTCATGTTATTTAGTGCATTAATTAGTGAGATGAAGTGGTTTTAAGATTTGGAGTTGAAGACATGGTGAGATAATTAATGACAATTATAAAACTAAAATTAGATTAATATTCCAAACTACACGGATAATTCACATTTTTAGTACTATATATATCATGTGACGTGACATGTAACTTTTTTTCTTTAGGCCAGCCGATTGATTCATGTCAATACAAAACATTCTTTATGAAAATTGTCTTATTTAATTGACTTCATACACGGAAGTTGATCCTTTTCTTCGTTTTTTTTTTTTTATATTTTATAGGTTGATGCCTCATTTCATAAATTTCCTCCCTTCATTTAGTGATTATCATTTGATTTAATGGTGGAAAATTAACTGCTAGCTATACCATTAAATCAAATATATTACTATAATCTACTTATGTATACTCTTCTAATCCTATTTATAGGGTAGAGAAAGAGTGTCTATTTTAGTTTTATATTTATAAAGCACTTTTATTATGTTTATCATTATCATTTTGTTCCTATTAAATGAAGAGAAGTTTATTAAATGTTAGAGTATTTCATTTTAAAGTAGTTATATTTAATAGGAGAAAAGTTAGAGACTTATTAAATTTTTAGATAAAATTAATGAGATTTAATATTTTCTTTAATTCTGATAAAAATTTTGAAAGTGACTTTAGAATAAAAATAGGATTAAAGAAAGTAATATTTTTAGATATTTTTGAATGAAAAGTGAATTTAAAATAAAAAAGGATTAAAAAAAAGACTTTCTCTCATTATTCACCACCTTATTTAAGGTGGTGGTTGATCATTAAATCAAAATGAATAATCTAACGCACTTTGAAAATCATGCACCAAAGATGAGAATGTATAATTCCCTCGATAGACCTACCTTCTCAGCGTTTTATGGTTTCTTAAACGGATCAATACAATCAATATTTTAAAATTAAAGTTGGACCAGATGTTAAATCAAAAGGGTCAGCAGGTCTCAATTTTTGTGATCTAACATGTTAGACCAACGGTCAATTTGGAGACATGATAATTAAGTAAAAATGACATTAAATACATATATATAATATATTTATGGAGTAAATTCACAGTATGTCTTGTTTAATAAAATAATATAACATTACTATATAAATAAACCATATTATAAATTCTATTTTTATATAATTTGTCAAATGTAAGTAGATATTGGTTGAATCAAATAAACGAAGATTCAAATGTATTTACATTTGGATTTATAGCTGTCAACATCTAGAAAAATAGCCTCACATCATATTATATGCATGTCAAGGGTTCAAAAATGAAATTGGTTCTTAGTATAGTCTAATTTTAAAATTTTTCTTATTTTTAAAAATTTTTAAGCTTTTTTATATTATATTTAGACTTGTCTGATTTTTTTAAAAATGTTTCGGTCCCGACTTAACTCTAGTTCTTGGCTCAATGGCAACTTAGAGCCTGTTTATTTTCTATTTTTAAATACTGTTTTTTGTTTTTGAAAACAGAAAAATTAAAAAACGTGTTTGGTTAAGTATTTTCTATATACTTGTTTGCAAAACTGTTTTCATTTTTTTGTTCTTAAAATAAAAAAATAGAAACAATTTCAAGTTATTTTTATTTTTTTAAAAAATATACTACATTTAATTATTAAAAATTAGAATTATGTTAATCAATTTTTATCATAAATCACCATCATTAACCACACATAATTATCACTATCAGCTTATTTTTTTAATTCTAAAACTGTTTTTAAATTAATATAACGAAACAGATTTTTATTTTGTTTTTGTTATGAAAAACAATTCTAAAAGTTGCACTACAAAACAGTTTTTAAAAATAAAAAATGAGAACAAAAGCTAAACAGACCGTTAATTTCGACCCAACCCAGTTTAATTATAGAGAAAACGGATATTTGATCCAAATCCGGTTCTTAAAACAGTGCATACAAATGCATGAGCAAATTATAACTAGTAACTAGTCTGTTTTCTGATTTTCTCTGCCAAAAAATTAACTTGTCTCTATTGTTATATTACGTGTATATGCTACAGCTATACACGAAGACGTGTAAGCTGTGCCATTGAACAGACTTGGAGCATTTCAAATAGTCAAAAAATGAAATATTTTTATATTTTTTATGCATAGACGTGGGTTCCGTTTATAGTGTGAGTTTATAATTAAGTCAAGGTCTTTCAATTTGAATCAAACCCCAAAAAAAAAAAAAGAGGATAAGATGTATCAAAAGTCAAGGTCGCTCTCGGACCCAAGTGGATGGAGGTAAAAAAGTTTAATATCTGCAAATTTTCCTCACTGACGTTGACACTAGCTAGTCAACAAATTTTCTTTCAATTCAATCATTCATCCCTATTCTCATATATTCTTTTTATCTCATTTATAAAGTGAAGAGAAAAAATTAATTTTAATTTTATTTATAAAACACTTTAATATTTGTTATATTTATTTTTATTTTTATATCCTTATTTAATATTAAAAAATTATTAAAATGATAATTTTTATCCTTAATAGAGGTAGATGAGAAAAATTATTAAATTTTAGGATATTGGTAATAAAATTTAAGGTTTTTATTAATTTCAATGAAATATATTGAAAGAGACCTCTATACAGGATCAGGCAGAATATCAATTTGACGATCCACTTAATTTAATGACCATACAATTATTTCATAACCAGTGGAAGTTCATGAAAGACGATGATATTGTCGGCGAGTTTTGTTTTCTTGATTGCTCTGAACACAAGAGGTGCGTCAAAGGCCCTCAATTTGTGAGATACCCGTAGTCGAAAGAAATACTTAAAAAACATTGCAGAGTGATGGAACAAGCCAACGATAGTGAGCACGGGAGAAGGGGAAAGAATTTTTGTGGGAGGGTATTTGCGTCTTTTTATTTTTATGTTAATTTAATAAAATATAAATATTAAATTTGATTCCCAAATCCTTAAATATAGTACTAAATAAATTCATGTAATCCTCATTACATAAATTTAGAAATTTATAAAGTATATGGATGAAGCATTTTCTAACAAGAGACAACATGTTGCGCCAACAAGAAAATAGAGAAATTAACATAGGTTTACTTATTTTTATAAGCAAAATTACAAATTAAAAAAACATTTATTATATTTTTATTTTTTTAAATTGCCCCTCGTAAATGAGTAGCATTATTAAATTAGAGAAAAAGTAAACGTTAATGATAAAAATATTTTAATTTAGTCCAAAATTTTTAATTTCAAACATAATTATTAATATTAATCAACTTTATTGAACTATATAGAATGGTTAAAAATTGTCAATATTTTAAAGCTGATAGAATATGTCTGTACATACTAATGATTAAAATTGAGAATAAAAGTCGGGTGGAAAGAGTCGGGCCTAAAAACCCTATTTAAATAAAGGTTTAGGTTTTAAAAATTATTTTTTAAAAAACAATTGATTTTAGGAGCCTGACTTTGATAAGTCCTGTGAAAAAAGACTCAAGCTCGGGCTGTCTTTTAAGTCTTGATAAGCTGGATTATCTTATATACACAAACATACACATACATATATTTGACTAATAATGATACAATTAAATTAATATTTAATGCAAGTGGTGAAGAAGAAGTTAAAAAATAATTGACATTAAATATCCACTTCTATCTTTAACAAGTGGACTTACATATAAGAGATTTAATATTTTATTTTTAAAGGATGATGACGATGATTTAAATTTACATTGATGAATATTTAAATCTTCATTTCAAATTCAAAATTTTAAATTTTTGTTGAATTTTATGTGAGATTTTAATTTATTTTATATTGAATTTTAAAAGATTCTATTTAAATTAAAATGCTAGATTGTTTTGGAGAAAAGGATTTAAGGGCTTGGCCTTGAGCTCTATAAATAAGGGTCGGGCCTCAAAATTAAGTCAAATTTTGAGTAATTAGGTTTTAGGGTCTAAGTTTTTAAAGGTTGGGTTTATAAGGACTGAGTCTTTAAGGGTTGGGCTTACTCTGATTCCCACCTTTACTTATAATATTAAATTACTAGAGCTGAATTATCAAACAATAGGTTAAAAAAATTACTGCTGAAACCTCTGGCCCTATCTGCTTTTTTTTTTAAAAAAAAATACTGTAAACGTACATTAAAAATAAAAAGGCAAGCGGGGGATAATTAAACATATTAGAACTCGACAGTGAATTATTCTAACTTCTTGAAGCCAGAACCTCTTCATTTTTTTATTTTTTAATAATAACTGTTGATATTACTGGATTAAGTGAATTTGTTTTAGCCATAAATCTAACAAATGATTATAATTAAAAAAGTGAAGGGAAAATGAAAATGAGAAAATGGAGAGGTCTAACCCATATTCTTTCCAACTTCATAAATATGGATTTGATAAGAAAATTAATATGGAGAATTTTAGTTAAAGATTACAGAAGATACTTGATTACTGGCGAATCTTAAAAAATCTCAAAACTTCAGTTTAGTTTAAGAGAGAAAAGTTAAAATAATTTTAACGGTGAAAAAAATCAAAATACTTTTAACTTATTATGCATAATTATTAATAGTTTTTTTTACTTCACTCTTTAATTTATTAATATGAGTTAATATGTTAATTACACAAGATTTGATATCAGTTGTTCAATTATAGGTAGCAACATTAGCTGTTAAATTGCTAACTTTACTTATTAATCTACTAACATCAATTGTAAATTA